ATTCGGCTTATTATTTGTAACTTTATTTCAAAACTTGAATAGACCTGGCGATGTTTGAGAATAATTGTTGGGCTTACATGTCGAGGAAGTGGTAAAAGGGGATGAAACGACAGAACAACAGGAAGATGTCATTAAAACTAGGCGAGTGGGACGATTATTCGTTGTCTAAATGAACGGTCGGAACACTTGGGAGAGTAGTTTTCGTTGGTTTCGAGGAGGCTTCGCACGTGGGTGACAGGTGACGGAATATTTAAGTGTCACGAGTCACCTCCTACGAGCTACTGTTACGGGGCACGCGACGTGCATTCTATGCAAATGTCGGGCAGATGCACGGATAACACCGAAAATTTGTCCCGTCGAGGACACGAGGAATTATCGCCACGACCATTATCCTTCAACTCCGCTCACCGACGCGAATCGATTGGCAGATAATTTTCTGTAGAATTCATTTAGAAGCGACAAAACCAATCAATCCCAAGTGTTCCATAATCACTAAATTCAAAGTGTCTTGAATATTATGTAAGATCAATAGAATGAATTACACAATTTAAACAATTATATATAATAAAAAAGTGTAATACATCACCAGGAAACACAAAAGCCAAACAACTGACTATATACGCTCGGAAGCTCGGCAAACCGATTCCGACTACCCTCATAAAATTTAACCACCAGAAAAAAACTCTCTGTCCCGGTTATCAATCGTATAGATAAAATAAAATGGTGTAATACCGCCAGATATACCAAAGAAAATGGCGCCAAAACCCGTTCAACGGGAAATCATAAAAATCCTTCCAATATCAACCCACCCCCTGCCGAGGACAATGGAACTGGTTGAAAATCGAGGAGAGAAAAAATACACTGTCAGGGGGTGATAACACAATAGCCGAGGCCAGGCGCAATTTTTTCACGAATATTTCCGCAATAATTGTCGTATTCCCGGCTGTCCGGCTGCGGAGCGGAATGGCGAACGGCAAAGAGATAGTGTCAGAGACAGAAGCACCAGTTCCAGCCACACGTCCCCCGTTTGGTACCTGTGTGCAAGTACCGAGGCTGTACCACCACCGGGAACAAGTACAATAGGCCAGTTTCTGGGGACAATAGCCGTGGCCAACAATCAAATCAGAGCGCTATCAGCCCGACCGCCCACCCCATTCGCGTTTATCCTTTGATCCGCTCGCTAGCTAACTCGCTCGCTCGCTCGTCGCCCGGCAAACACTCCTGATTGCACACCCTCTGTGTTTAAACAGACCCGAACTCTACCATCTCCACCCCTCCCTGATTCTCTGTCCTCCTCCCCGGGTGGAACCCCTCGCGCCTCTTTCCACCCCCCACCCTACAAACCATTTCTCTTTTTGCCGCTTCATTCCCCTTTTGCTGTTCGTTTTTCTTCTCACTGTTTTGCACGCGACGGCCATTTTCGGACAATGAGTCGTTGCGGAAAGTTTCCGTGTTCGGAGTATTCCCTGTTAATTTGCATCTAGGCTACTTTGTCTGCTCGTTGTTTAATTTTGTTCGGTGGGAGATCGATTCTGCTTTTGGATTGTTGGATGCGTCCATGAATTTGTACGCAGTGATTGACGGAAGTGTTTAAAGGGACAGATACTTGTACAGGGTGAAACTGTCATTAGGTCTACCAACAGGGCTCGAAAAATTCATATTTTCGAAGTTATGAACAATATTTTGTTTCGGTTACGGCGAGGGAATTTCTCGTTTCGGGAACTACTGTGCCGTATGGAAAAGATATAGAAATTTGGAAAAAGAGTAATAAAAATTGTAGAAAACCTTCTGTAACCAGAAAAAGAAGAAGTAATAATATAATCTATTGTTTACTTCAACCGAAACCAAAAATTGTTTATAACTTTGAAAATATGAATTTTTCGACCTATGTTTAATAGGACTTTTTTCCATCATTTGGCAAGTACAATCTACCCCAGAAGTTACGAACCCTTCTTTTACATCGAATGTTTTCTACGTGTCAAATTTGTTGTCCTTGTTAATTGTTCGGTAGAATTTTTCCAAGTTGATGATCACTTTCCCTCATTGTCTGCACCCAGACGTTCTACCCCCGCGTGAATCCAACCCCTTGACGCAATCGACCCCTCCCCACAGTGGTGTTTAAAGGACTCCGTGAGAGAATTAGGGGTAACAGACACCAGTCGTCTCGTTTGTGCTCGTAAACGAACATCTTCCGGCTTTTGGGAGTAATTTTATTCTATTCCATCGAGTTGTTGGTCGAGTAAAATTACCTTTGACGATGTCTAACGCCTAATTCAGGGTTGTGCTCGACACACCTGTGGACACGTGGTAGGAAGTGACGGTAGAGTTATCAGAAGCACACACACGTGCCAGGTCTGCGACGCAACGAAATCGCACGTGCGGTTAAAGCGCTGTTGCGGAAACGCGTCGCGGCGACGATCCACCACGAATGAGAGAATCGACATGTAGATCGTAATCGCGACCAACGGACTCGGTGACCAATGAAATTGAGCGGTTACTCGAGAGATGGGTGAAGCTAATCTACTTTACTAATTCTATGTTAATCGTGGAAATTCGGTTGTTCGCCTGTGTAATAAAAATCGAACCGTGATAACGATGTCTAAATATGTCTAACAAGAACAGAAAATTATTCAGAGTGAATCCATCGGTAAATGAACACGTACCAATGAATGAACATTATGTATAAAAACGTGTAAATGAAGTTATTAAAATATTGATTTTTTTTTCACTTTCTTATTTTATATTCAAACAATTTTCGCGCCAATGGTTAGAAATGTTCATTTATTTAATATTCTTCATTCACTGGTGAAATTTATATTTTCTCTTTTTAATTTGATTAGTTACATTTTTCCAACTTTCCGAATTGAAATCTAATTTTCAATAATAGCATAATCTCTTAAGTGTTCATTCATTGGTGCGTATACCCCATAATTGAAGAACACCCTGAAATTATGTACGTACAATAAATTTAACGCTTCTTGCGGTAAAAGTCGCGATTAAAGCTCCACAATCATTTCAAGTGTTCGAATCAAAAGAAAACCCGACTAACGTTGAAGAATCCCTGAAAATGTCTCTCTTCGGTTTGATAAGCTGAACCATGAACGAGGTGTAACAACGTGTAGTTTGTCCTCTAACTCGCGACACAGGGAGTGGAACTGTTAAGGGGAGTCCTAAATTTAGGTGGGAATCGGAGAGAGAGGAGCTTCTCAATTCCGAAGGACGCGTTCACCTCGACAGATATGTTTGCGTCGTGGGTTCAGGTTCGATCGAAGCGTAACGGGCCGTTGTCTTGGATGCGGGTACCTGGGATCGACGGCAAAGGGATGGAGAAGGTAGGAAGTAGGAGGATCCTAGGCAGGGACACCCCCTCAGAGCTACGTCGAACCAGCTGATTGTGGAGTTCAGAGAACGGCGTCTACGATCCTCTGCAATCGAGTCCTCGTCTCTGTTGCTTTGATAACTCCTGTTGTGTTACGTAAAGATACATCATTATTTGAGAACAGATCTCGATATATACTTTCGAGCATCCTATTCGACTGAGAAAGTTTCATTTTCGTATGCATATTATAGAAATCTTCACTGAGTCATTTAACCTTCATCCGAATAGACGAGCCTTTGAGGCTCCTGTATTATTTTATAATGTACAATATAATATTATACATATATAACCACGGTGGCAAAACAATATTTTTTTATAAACTTGAAACATACAACATACACGTATGTAATACGATATCTTTGTAAGTTTGCTGACGTTATGCAGTGTGATGCATATACACACAAATTGTAAGCGTATCTTTCAATTTAATACCGCTCCAATAGAAATCGCGGTTCTCGAGTATTTCTGATAGGCGATATATGGCTCCTATCCTGACAAGGATTGACTACCACTGATATATAATACGTAATAAAAACTGTAATGTTAGTATTTTACTAAATAAATAATTGATTAATAAATGATTGATTTTAGCTATTCTATACTCAGAGCCCCTGAGGCTCTTCTCCATTCTACCTCGATGAAGCTTAGAAACTATAAATATCTATTCAAACTACCAACTCTATAAAATGAAAGAATACTCTGCAAACAATTTCAGACTCTAGCGTCACCTCTAAAGCCCAAGAACCTCTCACCAATCCTCATACCCATTATTTAAACTACCAAGAAACTCCCGTAAAGCGAGCCAAGGATCGAGGAAAATCTTCCTGGAGCAATTCACCCCTCTTCGATAAAACACGACTAACGACAAATCGATCGCTCAACCACCGATCCAGTGAAGATTCTCTGTCGGCGCAACACGATGGAAAACACGCCGATGGTTGGAAATCGAGGACCAATGGGGCTGCAATTCCGGAAGAGGAGCAATAAACCCCCGTGTCGCGTTGAGGAGGAGTAGCGGAGGCGCGGGGTCGGTGATCGATCCTTCGGCAGGTCGAGAGGGGTTGTCGACGATTAGGCACCCTCCGTGCTGCAAGCCACGTCCCGATTGGTCCGTGTTGGCCACTCCTCTAGGCGTTCCCTGACGCCGGCAAGGACTAACCACGCCGTGGACAACCATCCAACACCGGTCGCAACGTGTGGGTCTCCAGCTAGTATGCGTCAGAGTGGAGGCGCCTCAGTTCACGTAGCGACTCCGTGTCGCACGCATCGACACGTAGCATCTCACGCGTCCTGGGAAACGCTCCGATACCAGTGAAGGATCCTAGACCCAACGAGGATCAGTTACCTCAACGAACCGGAACAAGTTCAAACCCCATAGAGGTGCTACGTACCGTTGCCCAGGATCAGTGGATTTTTAACTACAACACGAAGTGTACCCCGAGATCACGACGATGAAGAGTCGATGTTACGATTGTTGTTAGACGGTTACTCTGTAATATAGTCAGTGAAGTGTCTTCTCGGTTGGAGGAGCTACGGCATACTCGGCGATCGTGATCCTGAAACGTTCTCCATCGAGGCACCGAGCCCTTTGGTACCGTTCGTCTACGCGACAGCTACGACTATGGTGGTTTTGTAAGTATTTGCGCTTATTTTCAGAGGGATGATTGATCTGGGGTTGTCGCGAAGACGCAGAGGGGTGTGAGAAAGAGTGAATGACGGACGGTAGCGATTTAGTCGAATCCTCGTTAAGTTTCATTTTGGGATTGATGTTTGTTTTGGTAGTTGAAGATTGTTATGTGGAAGAACTCGATGTTATAGATTGGGTAGACTCAAGGATGAAGATTCACGTATGGTATGAAGATTTAAGCACTGTAGATTAGGTGTACCGAAAGATGCAAACTTATTATCCTTATTGGAGTGTACGTCGTTGCACATAAGACTCGAGTAACAACGCCTTGATAATATTGCAAGACAAAATTTCATTTTTTAAAATCGTATGGATCATTTGGAATAATTTAAATATTGCTTAGAAACACTTGAACAAACCTCGAGTCTGAACACTTCAAGCCATAATGCGTGATTCTCAACTTACAGTACATAAACATTCTCCGTTGATTTTCTATAAGCGATTTTATATTCTCAAAACTTTTCGTAATAACAGAAAGGACCAAAGACCTACCCACTGGATACTATAAAACGTTAAATTCGTTCACTTTGTATACCAATGGTAGAGTAACCATTTCGTTAAATTGATTATTTTGAATCCCAGAGCATAAATTGATTCGAATCACGAGTATTGGAAACGTGTCTGGGTATCGAGGAAGGAGTTAGGAACAAGTTAATCCAGACGTTTAATGAAAATTCAAAGACCGTGGAGCAGGTGGCGACCATTTCGGCATCGATTTCTCTTCCTGGACGGACAGCGAGATTTCCCTAGTATCTAATCAGTGGGCGTTCTGCGGGTTTCTCATTGGTGTGTGGGCGTTATCACGGGGCCCGATTGGTCGATGGGTATTCTAGAGCTGTGTCGCGCACACATGCGCAACGGGCGACCCGCTCCCTAAGGCACTCGAACGCGAATCTAACGGATCACGAGTCTCATAATTCTATAATGAACACCAGTAATTGGAGCTATTTGTACGGGTTCGTGGGTTTCGATTTTTCTTTGCGACTTCCTCGATCGATAGAAAACCGAACGAATTTTAGGAATAATCGGAATCGCAATGTCGTTTAACTCTTTGAAGCACGGTGGTATAAAAAATGTACCAACTTTTTTTTTGGTAGCCAACTTGTAAATTACTAAAAATAAAACATAATTCAAGTAGAATAACATTTTCACACATTTCATAGAAAAGGATGTATGTAAAACTAGATATTTCTTTTATTGTAAAATCCTGTATAAAATCTTGTAATAAAATTATCGACTTTTTAAATAATTTAACTCGCTATCAATAGGTGCATTTACTCTGCGTTTGACGAGTATACTCGTCGTCGTTTGATTTTAATTACGCACGTGGGTACACATTTCCAAAACAAGGTCCCACCGTCAAAGGGTTAAAGCGATATTAAATCACACTCTATGCTACTCCTACAACTACGATGGACATTTAAATATCTATGGAACACTTAATATTACACGAGTATCCAAATCGATTGTCGCCTGAAGAAAATCACGCGTACGAATTTTCCGCGTTTCCCCACGAAAAAAAAAACAGGTTCTGGACCGGTCATTAAGAGGGAGCAGAACAAATGACGGCATCAATCGCGTCGAGAACACCCCCCCGTATCCGACGGTTTTCATCCGAAAAGGATAATCGAGCGGCGGGCGAACCCGAAAGGATCGTCTCTCGGCCGTCTATTCGTGAAAACCCGATTACGGATGTGCCCGTGCCTCGCCATTGATCACGGCCCAACACCTCGAAGACAGATTAAACGAATGTCCGCGGGTAAAACGATCTCCCTTTTATCTCGAATCTCGGGGAACGTTCCCTCTCTCCCTGTCCGCGGCGGTGAGGAACTCTTTGAGCCCCGTTCACTCTCCCCATCCTCTCCAGCGACTCTGGCCAGGATCCTTTTATATCCTATCGCTGGTATGGAAGCTGACAGTTCACCAGGTATTAATAATGTTCTGTAATTTGGGGCGTGACACCTTTCTTGCTACCAAACATTAAAAGCCAACCCCTCGCGTACCCTCACGAATGAACTTAGCTTCTGCTAGGAGAAAAAATGATGTAAAGGAAAGACGTTCTACCAGTTGCTCTTGGAATTACTGAAGCTTATGCCAAATTAACATTCGGTTAATATTTATTTCAGTGTTTGAAATATACCCCTACATTGTTTTTTCCCCTAGAGGAAGTTTGCTAGTCAGTGTACACACTTTGCAAGAATTCGTCAGGTTGCCAATTCGTTTCTCGTCTATGTTTGAAAATCTTGTCAGTTCATGAAGAATTCAGAATAATAGGGAAATAGTTACCTAATATTAAAACCCACCCCCCAACGAACAGAGCTCGCAAAAATTCGCCAGGTTGGCTATTCGTTTCTTTTCCATGTTTAAACATCTGTCAGTCCACGAGGAATCGTGAATAATATGGGAATAGTTACCTGGGGGCAATCGAACGAGGGAAAAAAGGTAAAACACCGATGATACTCAATGAAACCGCGATAGAACGAAACAAAACCGGTTCAGCTGGATTTTTGTAAATCAGGTTTTTCGCCGATCCCCCCCCCCCCTTCCGGGAATAAATCGAGAGGAAGGAGATGAAATAAGAGAAGAGAGAGATGGTTGACAGAGGAGGACCGAACTATGTCGCGTAGACGGTCCGAATTTAGAAAAAACACGTGGGATTCGGTTTACGATCGTGAAGAAACTGCTGTTTACAGCTACCGACCGTGTATAATTAGTCTTCGATCGCTGATTAACGAGCTCGTTATTGTGTTCCGTCGGAAATTTCTTTTTGGGGAAACCGTGAAATTCGTAGGGTATTTCTGATTTGCGATTTCAGTATTTCAGTTATTTACTGGAAGCAGAACTTTTGTAGACGGGAAGAAAATAATTGTTTTTTTTTTAATTGTTATGAAAATATGGAAAACAGAATATTCTTTGGAAGTATCGAATCCTTTCGGAAAATTTCAAATTTTCATAGGTGAAATTAGTTACACTCCTTTTGCATATAGTGGATACAAAAAGTATTTGCAAGACCGAGGCCCCTTGTGACAAATACTTTGAGCAGAATAAAACTACGAAACGTTAAATGAAAGTTTGCTGGAACCGAAGACCAAGAAAGATTGTAGAAATTTTCAATTCAGTTCTTATCCACTATCAGAGGTACTCTGGAACTTAATTTTGAATTAAAGAAACTGTTATAGTCTACAATTTGCACAGAAATAGGAGGCTTGTATTTGAACAGCACGGGACTGCGAAATTTATGAAAATATCGATATCGTATATGGTATGGGAATAGGCAAATGAAAAGCTTGTTAGCGAAGAATAACGGAATACTTCTCGAGTGTGAAATAGTACATAATAATGTTTGTCGTGCACCGCCAACGCGAAGCCTTCGTGTATGTAAACAGTTGAATTGGAAAAATTCGTTATTTATCGTCATTTCTTACAATTTTTGTAAATCCCACCTTTGCGATAATAGAATACAGGCGAAAAATAATGGACTGTAAGAAAACCCGAGTATCTAAATAAAAAATAACAATATTTCCTCCATAATACCGTGTGTCCGCTTCACAATGTCAATTGCAATAGTAAAAGATCCTTAGCAACACCTGCTATAATTCTACTAAAGCGTACCACTGTAAAGACACCTGCTGTATTCAATATTCAGAAAATATGATGTTTCATAGGCACTACAGACTTACATTGCAACCACAGTTGTTTCCCCATACTATCATAAAACCAGTCTAATCTGCTTCGATATTCTCTAGATCAGCGAATGAGCAACCTTTCTTCGCCAACAAACAAAAATTGCAAAGCCTATGGTCTGAAAGGGGCTGCAATCGCAACCTTACATAAAAATTTAATTCATTAATCAACCTTTAGGGGACAGGCATACTTTTTCATGACTTTTTATATTTTCTAGTCAGAACTTTTATGCATTTGTTATAATGTTATAGTACGAAAAATAAGTGACACCTCTGGAGTTAAAAAATGGACTTTCCGCCCTCTAACAATTAAAAAATGCTTAATTTACTTCAGCTTTCACTTAATTCTCTATAACTTGATGCGATTAAAGTTGGTCGCACAAGCTTCAACGATAACAAAAAGAAAATATCTTTTCAAAATTACGTTCCAATACTCATCACCGATATAACTCACAAATTTCTTCACGGAATGCTGTCACATTTACTTCACCAGATTACGTACCAAACAACGAATCTCATTTCCAAATTAAGGACAATTTATCACGAAAGTAAAAATCACGAAGATACATAAACAGAAATTGCATAAAAATTTGTACATTTAATTCTAATTTGGAGACTGCACAAACGAATATGCGAGTCACTCTAGTTCACATTACCATCAGACAAAAACTACACCAGTAGATCAACAACTGTAACATCAAACATCACTCTTATAAAGGGTCAAAGCACCCAAGAATCTATTCTCAAATGTCCCCTCAGTAGGCCCTTAGCGTAAGGGGAGACCTAGGCCCCGAGGAAACTCGAATCGAAGGCCTGCCCCCGCGAGAATTAACTCGTTTAGAAGTTAATCTCCGTGGACGATCCAGGCCTTTAGCCAGTCCAGCGCGGCTAAGCGCGATCAGGGTGGACGAGCCCGAAGAAGGTAGGTGAGATCCTCGCGCTTCGGCGGGACCTCGCGTGATATTTTAGTGGGAACCTCGAGGCGGTATCAGACTTAATATCTGAAATTCTGAAGGCACCCATGCCTCGGGACCGGAACGAGGATATAGTCTCTACTCGACCGTTTTTTCGTCCCTTTCGAGCGGTCGAATCGCCGCGTCGTACTCGGTTGTGCGCGTTCGTATCTTCTTCTTGGTCCAGGGGAAGTCGCGTCTGTTCGAGCCGCGAGGACAATCTCCGTGCAGCATCGTCCGCCGATGTATCATCTTACGCCGGTGCTAAAGGCGATGACTTTATCACCGATCCGGGCAATCATTCACCTAGCCACCTCTCGACTCTCCTTTCTTCCCCTCGTCCCTTTTCCTCCCCCGTCGAGCGCGCGTTTCTGCCTCCCCTACCAGCCCGAAAGGTGTCGACGTAACAACCGTACACACATATATATATAAATACGTATGTATATAAGTAAACGCTTTGCGTGCCAAGCAGCCTCCACCTCCTCCTTCCTCTCCTTTTCTCCGTTTTGCGTTCAGCATAACGGATCGAGCGAACGTGCGAAGACCGTGGAATTATCGCCTCGAACGTAAGCGCGGCCACGAGGGTTCGAGGTAGCTGGCCCTCGAAACCGAAATAATTACGGTTCACGTACCCTGGGATGAACGGAATAATGCACTCGTGGACCCCCCTTGACACCTTCGGCCAAATTTTTACTATTGGTACCGTGATTCGAGGTAACTTTGACTCGGTTAGGGGTAGCTTTATCAGTTTCGATTTTGCAGCCTTTTTGTTGGTAATTTTACACTTTCTCACGTAGAAATCGGTTTAATTTAAGACAACTGCAGAATCGAATGTGATCGTTTTCTGACTTGGGGTGAATTTACCCCGACTGATTGTGATTAAAATGTTACCCCAATTTTCGGTACACTTGAAATCAGTTCTCTCGGTGCAACGAACAATAAATTCATATTTTTCACTGGATAAAACAGTGTTCATCGAACATTGAACGATCACTCAACGAAATCGAGACTCGTACCCTTGATTTGGGACAAAATTACCCCAATTTATAATACCAATGTATCGCGAATTCTTTCTTTAGGTCCTTGCTGTGTCGACTGCAAAATGGAATACATATTTATTTATCATTTTCGTAATTTTTTATACGCGACAGGATTAATCTTGAGATTGTGTGCGCATTTATTTTGTTGCACTTTGCGTGTGTTTAGAACCAAAAGCGTGATAGAGTGGACACGAAGACTCTCGAAGCCTTCTAGAGCGTTTTGTACAGGGTTACGCGGCTAGGTGCGTGCACACATCGTTCCCGTGGGTTTTATCGAGTCGGGCCACGGACGTTTACGATCCTCGAACACCTACTCGAGACGAGGCCTCCACGCGTCTCACGTGGGTCTCCAACGGTTCAACGTGTCCCGCCTCGTGAAAGCTCGATGGATTTCGATCGGCGATCGATTTTAAACACCAATAAAATTTCGGACCAGATACCGTTTCGACGACTCTGCGATCGCGTGGAATCGTCTTGCTGACGGTTTCATGGTCCACTATTTGCTCGCAAAATTCTGATCTGTTCCATTAGCTCAACGATCTTCAATGACCACAGTTTTTTCAATAGGATACTTTAAAGACACTCTGCTTTCGAACATTTATTCCCTGTCGATAATATTAGATTCTTTTTATTTCAAAATTATACGTATCATGGCGGAAGATCGTGGAAATTTCTCGAGTGTAGCAAATTTTTCGAGTACAGTGTACAATGATTAAGAAAATTTCACTGCACGAGATCGTTCAGGATTTCAGTTAGTAATTAATTTAACGACGACGGAGAGTCTGGGATTACAGTTCTCTGGATGGAGATCGAGAATGATAGAGGCGAAACATCTCAATAGAGCATCGTGTGCACCGACCGTTCCACAGTTCCGTTTGTAACTCTAGAATAGCAGGTTCGCCTGAAAGGACGTAGGCGAGCCGAACGTCTTCCACGGTTCCCTTCATGGTCAATGACACCTGGCCGCCGATATTTATAAAGCAACGGGCCCAACTACTTTTGCATCAGGCACAAACACCGATATTCGCCCCCGAAACGCACGATAATTCACCTCTGAATATCCTCGCGAGTAACCTGCGCCTGTGGATATTGCACGATAAACCAGTCGAATCCAATGAGCATTACCTACGCAACCTTGCATCATCGACCACGATTTTCTTCTAAAAATACAAAAACCGTACAAAGAAACTCGAGAACACTATATTAATACTTTACGAAAAGAATATGTACTATCCTGTTACATAAAAAAAATAATATTACTTTTATGCAGACGAAATAGATGCAGTTGTTTAATGTAAAATTGATCAATCTTTAAACGCAATTCGATTATATTTTTCACATATTTCACGAATAGACTGCGGATGATCGTGCACTTATAACACCTATAACTTGGAAAATACAATAAAAGTTTTAACAAACGTCAATACTATTTATACAATGCGTGGAATAACTATAAAACTACTCAGAAATTTGCAATCCTTATGTATTGTCGTTACCTTATGTGTCGTGCTTTGGTTATAAGGAATATAATCCATCCTTTTCTGCAGAAACATTATTTGTCAACACGATTTCATACATGGCATACTTGGTTCGTTTTTATTTTAACTACAATACATAAGAATTGAAAACGTAAGGGTGGTTTTACATTTATACCACGCAGTATATGTTACGATTAACGTACTAAAATTTCTAGTACAGAATTCAAAAATCCCCTCCATTTTAATTTTTAACTACTGCTACCGAAGATTGTGAATTTGCATAAACTTCCGCAATCTATTTACGAAACAGAGAAGTCCCAAGGTTTCATTTTTCGTGAGATCCTATTTCTCTCGAATTGTGAAAAATTGTCTAGGAGGTAAAGAAAGTACGGGACAACAATCTGTAGCCCCCCGATACAGGATTGGTAGATCATTCTCTGCACACCATAACGCCGCCGCAGATCATAACCGCGGGCATTAATGTCACCGGGAGAAAGGCAGAAGCTGCTGCGTGACCTGAGACAAACACTAGCGCGAGAATTTATATGGAATCATGTAATTTGGATAGTATTTTTTACATTGCACATCTTTATTGCGTCGTATGGGGTGGAGTAGAATGTAGTAAAGCGATATGTATTGTAGACGAAATTTATGCAAAAGACGAGGTTCGACATGATTGGTGTTATTAATCGAGCAAATAATTATGTTGAATTAATTTGACGAACGAATGTTCGGGAATTAATATGGAAGAATAAAACGGAACAATTCACCAAGGGGAAGAAAGTATTGTAAACGAAGAAGAGGAAACTCTCGGACTACCGGGGGATCAATCTTTTCTTTCACCGCGATCAGGAATCGCTCGGGACGAATATAAGGATTCCGTATAGCCGGCGAACGTGGCCGTTGTCAGGCCACCCACGGGCTCCCATAAGTATGGCGCGAGGTACGGCCAGGTACGCACCATAAATCGGGATTTTATCTCGAAGCTGCCGGCCTCTTGGCACGCCGGCGATTGCGTAATCCCAAATTGGTCCTGGGTTCCAATTCAACGAGCTTTAAATTTTCGGGACATCAAGGTCGAGTTTCCTTCGAGGAAAAACGTTTTTCCCAATTTGAAGGATTCTTATCTGTGTTGTAGTTTCTTATACTATATAATAATAATATGGAGGGTTCAGAAGTCAATCAGAGTAAGTCACTCTTTCATTAAAAATGACTTATGCCGTGTAAATGAACTTTCATTGTTTAGTTTATACGCAACAAGTTTTATATATGTATGTATAAGGGTGTCTCACCCGATTTTGACATCTTGATTTTCTCGCTATTGTTACTCGTAGCAAGAAATGTTTCAGCGGAGGATTGAATGGTATCGAGTGGAGCATATTCTAATGTTATTATTTTTTTCGTGAGTACACGCGTAAAGGTCATATAAAGGTCAATTTTGTTTTTTTAAATGGAATGAGGTACTTTTTACACATCAATCGATGCAGCTGGACATTAGTTATAAAAAAGTACTAACCTACGTATGTCGAAAAGTTAGTGGTTCAGAAGATATTTCAATTTAAATAATTCTAAAACACCATTACTGTCGTCCTAAGACGTTAGCGTTTATTTACAGGAATGGTAATAAAGTACAACAGTAATGGTGTTCTAGAATTATTTAAATTTAAATATCACCTGAACTACTAACTTTTATAATTTATATCCTGTACACATGAATCACTTTTTCTTTGTTAATAGCAAATGTTATTTTTTACAGTCTATTTTCTATACAATTATCTCTGTTAATTTACTTTGTAATTTACATTGATTAGCTTCTGAACCCTCCATAGATAGATTATTTTCGATGGTTCGACTAAACGCAAAATGTACCTCTATCTCTTTTTAGTTTCTGTCTAGTCTACTTGTTAAGAAGATTGTAATAATCGTAAGATCGTATTGTTTTCTGTTCAAGGAGCCGTGTGGGGTCGCCGACGATGTCAGCGACGGTGGCCGGCAACCAGCAACAGCAGCACCCCCATCAAGAATGGGACATCAACGACTCGAACGTTCCTAGGGTAATTATTCTCCCCCCCAGCGCAATTCAAACGAGTCACCGAATAATCGTAAATAATCTATGTGAATTTCGGGTAATCCCCGCGAATGGTCACGGGAATCTCCGAGACCTTGGAAATTACCGGAGACTCGCGGTTCCCGATTTTCCCCAGTATTCATAAACAAAAACGCTGGCCAGGTATACCTACACTCGTGAAGAATGGCACGCGCTGCCAAGGGTCGCAGTGATTCCGTGTTAAACAGTATAACGCGGGCAGAAAGGGAACCCAGAAATTACCGTCATTCGATAGACTTAAAGTTTCACAAATTCTTTACCAACAAAGGGGAAAGAAGGTAACTTCGATGGAACGAACGGTCCAAATTATGCGAATATTAAGAGAACCTTTTTTGGGGAACAGTAAACATCGTCCTGTCGGGGTTTTCCTTCGATAATATCAAATTTTTCCGTACAATAAAAAGGATCTCAATTATTTTTTTTTTGAATATACCACTTCATTCTCGTAACACGATTCTTGTATGAACTAAATTTCTATCTAGTATGTTTCTATTGATATTCCGAATATTTGCAGTACTCTAAAAATAATAACTAGACAGGGGAAGTTTGCGAGGGAGTTCGATATTCGTAGAGTAATTTTGAGAAATGACGGCTGAACGGGTATTGTGTGTAATGCAGTTGGCTTTTGAGGTTCGAGGGGCTTGAAATAATTAGGGGGATCATTTGTTTCCAGGTGGTGGAGTACGATCCGTGGTGCGAATGGGCGGACGGGCACGTAAGAAGGGTTTACGGGCCGGATTGCGAAGAGGCGAGGAGGCACGCCTCCGGTTGGGCAATGAGGAACACAAACAACCACAATGTGAGCATTTTGAAGAAATCGTGTCTCGGTGTCCTTGTATGCTCCCAAGAGTGCATTCTACCTGGCGGCGGAAGGGTTCACCTTCGACCGGCCATTTGTGATAAGGTGAGCATAGTAAATTTCAATTGATATTTACAGCCTAATACTGATACTTGTTTACACTTATTACTTTGTATTTAGCTTTAATTATGGATAAGATAAACATTCTAATTTCTTCTAGAGCAACGGTTCTTAAACTGTAGTCCGCGAAGAATAAAATTAAAAAGAACAAAAATTTTAATTATTTTCGTATTACAATTTGGAAAATGATTATTAAAAAAATTCATGTTAAAAATGTTGTTAAAATCAATTACGATCTAAAATGTGTTTAGTAGTCCACAGATTTCAGATTTTCAATGGGTTTTCATTGTTCTAGAGAAAGAAGAATCACCAATAGATTCTGCGCCAAATTATTACTTGTTGGTAATATTCGGTCCTAATCGATATTAACACTAGGTTTACGGGCATTTATCGTGTAGGTATCTCCAAGGCACGCGTCAACGAACCCGCAGATTTTCATTAAAAAACAACTTATTTTATACAATACACAATTTATGATCTCTGAAATTAATGCATAGCTATAGAGATAGGTATACCACAAGGAGAATTTCGAGGTTACAAAGTATTCGAAATGCGTCAAAATGACGCGTCCCGTAAACTTAGTGTTAAAATTACCCAGCAACTTAAAATTTTGCGTAGAATGTAATCGAACATGGTAAACAATAAACTTGATTTATCCCTTGATTGAAAGGAAGCACAAAGTGTTTTCGAAATAACTGAAAGAAGATTGTCCTTTTTAGGCGAGAAAGAAGCAACAAGGAAAACCGTGTCCCAACAGACAATGCACAGGTCGGTTGGAGATACTTTCGTGTCGTGGCCATTGCGGTTACCCCGTGACGCATTTCTGGCGGCACACGGAGCACGCGATATTCTTCCAAGCGAAAGGACAACACGACCATCCGCGGCCGGAAGCGAAATCCACGTCCGAGGCGAGACGGAGCGTGGGTGCCGGTAGAAGGGTGCGGGGACTCGCGGTTCTTTTGGCCAGCGAGGCTGCCTTGGGCTCAAAAGTACGTTTCCTCGAACTAACTATACTTTGACCCGTCTTTTTTTTTTTTTGTAACCATACGTTTCGAAACAGTTGGCACGTAGCAAAGAATAAATAAATAGCATTTAACTTTCATGCACCTCGAACGATTCTTATGGTAGACGTTAAAATGAATGAATAAACATTTGATAGACTTTAAGAAAATTAAATGCCGGTTGTTGTATTCGGATTACTTTGACTGTCATTTTGGTGAATTCTAATGCAACTTTTCTACGCGTGTTTCGAATTATTTAACAATTTATATATTATTATACAATATACAATGTATATTACGTTGGTAACCAATATGGCGACTCACCGGAGATGCAGGAGTAGCGTAGAACTGTAGGTCTGGGTTAGGTGTAGTCAGCTGTGTATCACTGTGTAGTCCAGTCCATTCGTTGAATATGCACCGATCTTCTTTTTTCTCTGGTCACTTCGACGCTATTAATAAATGAACTCTGTTGGTTTTACAGTTAATGTCACTAAGAGGAACAAAAAGGCCAAGCTCAGAGGCAATCGAACAACCGGCCCGGACTACACAACCGCCACCACTGATCTCGGACAAAGGTTAATATGTTTCTGCCTCGATAGTACTCTGTTCGTCCGTTAAATAAACACAAAGTCTGTTTTGTATAAAAACTGCACGAAACAGTGAACGAAAACTTGCTTTATACCTGGAAATTTGTTTCTCTCTGTCCGATACACGTCGCAACCGTTTTCGCGCCAATTGTACTGACTTCAGCCGGCTGGCGGCGCCACCTACTAGGATCATTCACGAACTGCGCGCGCAAATTCGAACTGTCGTAGAACGCAAGACTTTCAATACGCATTAACAGATTTCTGCGAATTGTAAAACTTTTGATATAAAAAAATTGTCGTAGTAAAATATTGTAGAAAATGACACAACATATACTATTGAATGAATATTTATGAGATAACAAATTGCTAATTTTTCGTGATTGTATAAGTAATTTATATCCTTCGATCCGAAAGTAATTTTATATCCGTTCATTTTAGGATATTCATGTTCTTGTCCGCCGTTCGAGTGCATGTGCGGCCTACAAACGAACATTTCATCCTATCAACAGTCTCATCACCATCAGACAACGATGTTCCCTCAGCAAACGACCACGAACGACACCCCTTACTGGTTACCAGAGCCAGTACAACCTGCGGAAAATACCCTGGGTTACAATCTACCGAATCAAGTTCCTCAAGAAGCTTCGTACCCAGACTTTCCGTCGTTCACCGGTGAACTGTTCCAACCGGAAGAGATCTTCCAGCTGGACCAACCGTTACGACCAGAATTCCCCATGAACTCCCAAGATGTAGCCAGATCACCGCCTACTTTGCTCGATCTCGGAAGCGGTACCATCAAATACGAAATGAAACAGCATCAAGATCAAGCCTACTGGAACCAATTTCTCAGCGAAGACTCCAGTAGCAGTCACCTTAGCTTGCCCCAAGACGACAGGCTACAGTTCCCCGGTTTCGAGACTGACAAAGACTCCAATGGATTCTGCGAAAAGAGACCCACGAACCATTTCGTCCCGGACAAGGAGATCAACCAGAATCATCTGAACAACGCGTTGAACTTCCAGGACTACCAACGCAACCAAAACCACAAGAGCTTCGTGGACGGTACAATAAAGAACGCTCAACAGTCAAATTACTGGAACCACCAGGACGACCGTTTGAATTTTCCCGCGTACGATCCTCAGAAGGAAGAAGACCTGCTGACCTCCAGAAGGGACGCGAACTGTTTCTCCAAAGACAGCTGTCAACCAGGTCTGATGGATACCTACAATATGTACCCCAAAAAGCAGAACGGAATGATCGAAGCTGTCCGTCCTAGTCGTAGTCCTATAGAGAACAAACAGTACGCTTACGATAATTACAACCAAATGTTCGAGCACTCGGAGTCCAAGAATCACATGAACAGTCGTTGCCATCAGAATTCCAACCGGATGGTTCTGGACGAAAGACTGCAGGGCAATTATGGGAATCACGAGACTCCCGATGCCACCGAAAGACTGTTCCCGGAAGCTAGCGGTCTGGACACTTCGATCCAGTCGCAGAACAGCTCAGAATCGTTCTTCTACCCCAGCAACGATCGCTGTCACTACACCTGCGAAGTTCTGGACACGAGGCTGCCGCAGATGGGGATGAACGCAGCGAACACGCAGACGGGAATGAACAATTACGGCGACGTGAGCGAACTCGATCTACCGCCCTTCGTAGATTACACCCTCGTGGGGATGCTCTGTAGCTCCATGGACGAGGACACGACGAACCTGTTACCCGGCTGCCCACAAAACACGCAGACTTACGTTCCTCATCACTAGAACGCCGCGACGATTCTGACTTGTATTATAAATATTAAATATACGATATAATTGCACCTGGAAACGCGGGTGGCGTGTTGTGTTTCATCCTTTATCGAGCCCTTTGGAAGACACTGGTGATAACTCGAAATTTAAAGTTCCGTTCACAGAGATCATCCTCCCTGCTTGTAGATTTTATTTTGTATTGCGGGAGAAATAGTTGTGCAAGTGCTTGCAATTGTATTCGAAAACAACTATTTTACTAAAAGTAATAGTTCAGAAGTATTACAACTTCCAGCAAGGCGTAGAAACCTTTTAAGAAACTATTCTGAATTGGTAATTAGATCGAACGAAATAGAGAATCTTTGTTGAACGAACCGTCGATCAAATGTTCTTTCCATTAGACGCATTAGGTTTCTAATCAGTTTATTAATGTGACTCGCGTATTCGTTCATAACATACTTTCCAAATTACAATTAACTGTACAAATTTCTACAAAATTTCAATTCATGTATCCCCATGATTTTTACAATTTATCACGCTTTCCTGAGAAATTTTTCTTCATTTCGAAGGTTCGTAGTTTGGTAAATGATGTGGCGAAATAAATGTGACAGCCCCACGTGAACAAATTTGTTAGTCACTGTAGGTCTAACCTGTAATTTTGTAAATAAAGTTTGCAATGCAAAATCATACGTAAACTCTCAAAGAGTATACCTTAAATGTGTTGTTTTTTCTCACAATGGTTCGGAACAGATGTACAAAGTTTGACTGGACGAAGGGATACACGAGGTCCAGGTTCAAAGTACTCGAGTCCCCGTTATATACCTTTGATAAAACTCGTCTGATTTCTTCGTAATTTCTTTATTCGTAACAGATACTCTCACGATCACAATTGTATGTACGTTATGTAATAATTATCATACACCTATTTGGTTGTTACACTTTCTCGGATTACATGCGCGATAATTCTTTCATCTTTAGTTTCGTGGGGGTGGTTGCGTTCTTTTTTTCTTTATCTTGTCGCGATTCGTGTCAATTGAACCGCCTCGTGGCTACCTCAAACGTAAGAACTCAAGGGTGACGAGAAACGTCTGGAATTCAGGTGATGCTGAATGGACCCGATCGATCTCTGTGGATCATCGAACGATCGTCGAGCGGTTCCTCGTGCTAAACGCGATTACCTTCCAGCTACCGAGAGAAAAAAGGGGTGCGCAACATTTCTAGACGATTCGAAGCGTAATATCACTAAGTCGCCGCTATCGGCGTGTTAAGAAGTGTGATCGTTAACAAACTAATAGGAAAAACTCGTCGAATCGTTCGAGATCCGACACGAATCCGCGACACAACTCACAGATTGTTAAGGTGGCACCGCTAGACGTGCTTTTGTACCCCAAAAAACTGGTGTATTCATCGAAAGTGTATACTTAATAAGTAGCATCCCGAAATTTTCGTGTGTCCCGAAGAGGGCCACGTCGATCAACGGGTAAAATCGTTTTCAACGGAACAGCTACGTCTTCCTCGTCGAAACGTAAGAAATAAAAAAGGAAAAGAAACGAAAGAACGAATTTCAGCACTGGTCGAAAGAAGCGAATCTAAACGAAAGTACATCGTCTAATATTTCAATATATCTAGATATATATATAATATTCCTCATCTTCTTTCTTCATCGTTTTCTTCTTTTGATCCTCTCATACGTGAATTATGATAAATCCCTCCTACATATAAACGTTCCTAAGCGTATAAATTTTTGCTCCTATACACGTCACACATAAAACAAATCCTATCGTGTACTACGTATGGTGCCATACGCTCTGTTTTTTGTCTGTCCACTTTGTTTTCTCTGTTTCTTTTAGGCGCTAGGTAAAAAATTGGGAGGACAAGTACGTTCGATTACGTCGGAGAATCGCTAGAAAAATAAAAGCGCGACTCTATTCACCGTAGTCCCTTTCCTCCTCGAGATCTCGGCTGAATCCAACCATTTTGTGATCCTCGATCACTACGCGAAATTTCTTTTTCGATCTCTGGGCTTATTTTTCGCATCTTTTGTACAACGTTGAGATCATTCGTCGTGAACATCGTTTTCATTTCATTTTCATGCGTTCGATCGATTATATACACATGGATCGTATCGATCGAATCGTGTTTTCATTTCCGTGATTTTCACACCAGGCACCGTTGCTTTGATATATATTTGGATTAATCAGTTAACTTCGCCCTAGATCAACGAGAGATCAAGAATATTTCTGCGGTGACGCGAAATCTTTCGCCGCCTCGAAAGGAATTTGGATCGTCCGGTCGCGGAGCACGCAGCTTCTTCCGGCGACCGGAAGTCCTCCGGTTCCGCGAGACTCTCCGAACGTGAGAAACATTACGCGTCGTTGAATAAAACATCAGGTTGCTGCGCAAGTTTCATTTTATTGATTATAAATCGTGTCGATTCCGAACGGCGCTATAAGAGTACGATGAACGTTAATTAAAAAAGTAATTGAACATTTTGAGGCGTTGTACAGGTTTTAGAAAATGTTCAATTACTTTACGGTGAAATTCTTTGGTTCCTGTAAATCGAGAAGCAAGTAATTGGCAATGAAAGAAACGTTTACTCGTTACGGGGAGCTTCGTGACACGTGGACTGAACTACGTACGATTTAATACAGAGAAATAACTAAAGAATCTTTATTTAGGATCGACTATAGACGAAAAAAAATAGATCGAACGCCTTATTTCGATTCAGTTACAGCGTCATCCGCGTATTTTCAAAAACTCAAAACGAATTACTCAATTTGTAATAAAATTTCCTTCGTTTTCACGACACATCAGTCACGGAACACCCCGTAGAAACAGAATTACTTCCCAAAACCATCTCAGTGACCACGTTAAAACAACTAAAAACTCCCCTCGTCATGTTTCTTTCGTTCAATAATAAATTCGATCGGTTTCATGTAGAAGGCACTACTCTTTTTTTTTTTTTATTTTCATAGACAAAGGTGAAAAATAAAGGGTTTCCAACATATAATACAAGGTACTTTCGACAACTAAAATTAAAATTAAATACCATCGTGTCCGTACTGATCGCTGGACTTCCGCAGCAACCGGACCAAACGAATCTCCGAGTACCATTCGTCGGTTTCTCGACTCTACTCGCAACCAACCGCAGATCAACTCTCGTCGCACAAGCTGCCTGACCACGACCAGTGCGTGGTGGTGGATTCGGGTGTACTATTCAGGGTGGGTGGGGGAAAGGAATGGAACAGAAACCCGCTAGAGCTGCAAGCGGAACCGGAAGGTAGATCGATCAAGGATCCGTCCGAACAGAATCCAGGCTACACTTGCTCCCAGCGTGTTGCTCTACAGAAACTTTCACGAGTGGGTGCAACGACCGAAAAATGAACCGACTGCTCCTGGCTTCTGACGCGTAATTAAACGCATCGATCAGATTCGTGTAAAAAAAAAAAAAAAACAGTATTAACGTCGTGATCGTAAAGGCTGCAGCTTTCATCTATCAATGAATCGAGACTCTGCGTACACGAGACAGTTTAAAAAAAAAATTAAAAGAAAAACAGCCACTCGTGTTTGCAGAGTCGTTTAGTCAACATTGGACGCTTTGTCAAATACTCTTCGCGTGATCGTCGTGTTTGGAATTACTGAATTTTCGAATTGCAGACCTGTCTGTCTTGATAAGATCTTGGACAATGTAGTCTCTACAGATCCGCACGAAATTCATGCTGTTCGCGATCTTGAATCGTTCGATGACTTCGAAGGGACGAACAGGAGGAACAGTCGTTGCATTTTTCTCGCGCAAATGGAGGAGGGTGTCGAGGTAGCTATCGAAGCATAAGCTGCAGCGTCGAGTGACCGTCTATCGACGTCGCAGATAGATGCTCGTCCAGGGTCCCTCGAAGAATAGGGCGCCAGGTGTGTGAGAATCAATACAGATACAAACATAGTGTCTCTACGTGGACAGAGCTTGTTCGTCCTGCAAATCGAGAAGCGTACTCTTGGCGGAAATTATACAACGTGATCGTCAAGTGAATCCTCGACTAACATGACCTACTGATATACCACAGGATTTTAACCCTTTGACTGCGAAATACGTATATATATATATATATACGTCCTCACAACATGTCAAATGAATATCGAGCCGCACATGCTGATTATTTTGAGGTAAAGTGCGCCGCAGTCAAAGGGTTAACATTGGTAACAGGGTTTCCGCTCGATAGCAAGAAAATTGCACACTTCAATACATTCACAAAAATTTCTTCATGCCTTTAAACACTCACACTCGTATCGACTCGAAACATTCAAGGTGAAGTCTAAGATTCTTCTCTCAACGATCACGCTCTGTATCCGTTCCATCAAAAGTGACGAAATGCGGAGAATGCTCTACGAGTGCCTCCGAAGGTTTCTTCGTGGCCCTTCGAAACCGTGAAGCAAACAATTGGACTAATAGGAACCGTGGGGTCGCGTGCGTGTGAACTCGGTGTTTCATTTTTTTTTGTGTTTTTTTTTTTCTTTTCGTTTCGTTTCAGCGAATCGACGCAACGACAGGAAATGTCGATCGGTCGCGAGGACGATCGTGTGGGGGTTTTATCGGAGAGAAAAAAGTGTACCTATTATATGAACGGGACATGGCGGGGCGCAGGGCTCCCGAAACTGTCCACAGAAAATTCGTGCTAAATCCCGTGCATGCATGCGCGCACGTGTGGTAAACGCGGGTGCGATTTCTTGTCGACCTTTAGAAGAAAGAGGAATCATTTTTTAAACGAGCTACTTTTGCGCTACGTCATTAAGCAGGTGGCGTCGTTCTCTCGACAAGCTCGAGCTACAACCTACCAGAAACGAACATTTTTGTTGCATCGTCTTTTTCATTTTATCTTACTTATCAGCATCTCTTTCGGCGGACCGCCGTGACCGGTTGGCGGCGGCGTCGCGCTCGAACTCGAAAATCGGGTCCCGATGGTCGACGTCGGGGGAAACGATCGTCGTTCCGCGTTTCGAGATCCGCTCGACGTTTCGAACCACCACCCCTGGATATTAGTTAATGAGGAAACAGAAGTTTGTGGCCCGAGGGGTGGAACTAGAGTTCGAGCGGACCTCGGCTGGTCGATCATCGGGGCCCAAGGAATTAAGATTAACTAACGACTAAGTAGAAGTGAAAACGTCGAGCCTAACGATCACAGCTATTGTACGATACTATGAGTGCTTAACTGTCGCGGAGAAACGAATTGATATTTGTAGGTGAACGGTACAGAATCGGTAATAAAACAAAAGAAAAAAAATTCTTACGAGCGATCTGTCGCAAAGAAGTTTTCGTCGGTGTTGTGTTTCTCTCCGTGGTGTACGCTCAATATTCTCGCGATATACGTAGTATTATTCGGGCGCAGGCCTCGAACGCGTTTTGACACAGAACGTTGGGCAAAAAACAAAAATATATATATATATATATGCGACTGCGTGTGTGTGTTATATGTGTGTACACGTGTCCGTGTGTGTTTATGCATGACTATACGGCATATAGTTATAAAATTCGTGCTACGAAGAGTCTGCCTCGCGAACCGGGGCTTGAAAGACCGAATAATCTTTCGTCAACGATATTCGTATCTCGTTACGTTTCGAAAATGAAGAGACAGGTGTGCCGCCGCGGTCCTTTTGATCGCGCGTCCGCCATCTTGGTAACGACCTAACCCCCTTTTTTTCGCGTTAAGATTCGAAAATTCGGTGTACGGTTCCATACGGAATTTTTCTTAGTTAGATTTACTAAGAATATTTTTGTGGAACGCTGATCCGCGTTCTCTGCGCGTTAGTGGAACCGTTTCGGCGGAAAATTCGAACCCAACAGACTGAGGGGGGTTGACACGATCGACATGTTCGCTGATACCGTTCGTGGTAAACAGATTCGAGGACAATTCGCGTCGACCACGGGGGCAACTCTGAACGAAATCTCGGTCGGGAAACACGCGAAGGCGGCTCGCTTCTTGTTTCCAAATTAAACGCGTATAACTCTCACTAACGTGCACGAGGGTGTGTATCACGAGGGCTTGCACAACACGGCTACGTGATACTTCGTTTTTTTCTTCCTTTTTTTTCTTTAGAAAATCCTGCTTAGGACCTACGTGTACGACATCGTTTACGCGAATATTGTACGTCTGATACAACGGAGCACACCCGTATATATTATATAACACATACGTATATAATATATATTTTTCTTGCATGTACAAAGCAACCGTGTGTTCATTACCGTTTTTTCTTCCCCTTTTTGTAACTGCATGCTTGGTTTCCTTGTAAAACTTACTCTACTACGATTTTTTTTGTTTCGCTTCGTTCTCCTTCGTCTTCGTTTTCTTTTCTTCACGCAATGCAAAGATAATAAGAATAATATAATAGTAATGGTAATTAATAATTCATAGCGTTGAATCGAGTCGCGGAACGAGGAAGTTTCGCTTTCGGTGTCCGAAGTTAAAATGAAAAACACTTTCTCTCTCTCTCTCTCTCTCTCTCTCTCTCTCTCTCTCTCTCTCGCTCTCACTTCCTGTCTTTCTCACTCTTTTACACTCGCAGTCGGCTTAGCAAATTACAAGAAGAAAAGTCGTCGATTACGTTATTATAATATTATTTCGTTCTTATTCTTACTCACCTTCATTTTCTCGCATTCTCGCTCACGCTCGTCCTCTTTCTCTCATATTCGCTCATTCAAGTTCGTATTATGAAAAAAAAAAAAAAAGGAAAAAGGAATACAAATCGTCGTTTACACTTCACAGCTAACCACAGCATTCGGCAATTATATGTTTCACTCGTTTAAAAATTATTTATATCACAATGAAACGCCAGCGCATCCTTCTGATCGTCTGATCGCTTTGCGTGCACCTCATCGGGGCGGCCATACCTCTTTTTCTCTATCGTAAAACATCTTCGTTCTCCCTGCTAGGCGATGTTCAGGATGCGTCTACAGGCTCTGGCAGGTTTTGGCCTTGATCCGAGGATCCGTTTCCGGATGGTCGCGAGGATGTTCATAAGCTGGGAGGACCCGCGTCTCGAATAAACTGAGCTTCGAACGGCCAGTGTTTATCCGTCGAACGCGAATCCAAGGGTCACAGGGCTTCTAACCAGGCAAGAATCAAAGGGTTTCCGCTCCAATTGGAACGTACGATTACTGTTGCTGGATGCACGCCAATAGAGTCGCGCTCTCGTCCACCGCTTTCACGCGTACACGGTAGAACTTGGTTCCACGTGGTACACGGTATCTATTTTCAGACTGAAACATCGATTGTTGGTTAATCTTTAGACGTTCTGGACAACATGAAAGACAATTGAATCGTTACAAACAGAGTCCAATCAGAAAAGTTAATCTACTAAAGAGCCTAACCTTTCTAGCATGACAGTACTCCTTATCAACAACCTCAGCGATAGTCTGAATGCTCAACGGCGGCCCCTCAGGATTCAAGGCCAGGTCCAAAGCGGCGACACAGTCCGAATTCAGGAAATAGAGAGTGGTGGACTCCTGGTACACGGTATAATTGCCGTGCGTAGGATCCCAGAAGACCAGCACAATGTCCCCTGGATTGCAGCTGGCGACCGTGACGCGGCCCTGCTCCACCAACTTCGCCGCTACCTTCTTCATCTTCCTTTGGACGTGCGAGACGGAGAAGAAACAAATCATACAGTTACACCTAGGCTCCGGACTGGTCGCCGCGTCCCGACTGGATCCTAGCGCAACAACCGCCACAGAAGCGTTCATATCCTTCTCGCGACTCTCCGACGAAGACGAGGATTCCTGAACTGCGAAGCTTCTTCTCGATCTTTCCTTGACCAGTTCGAGCTCCAACCGGATCTTGTCCGATTCCAGGACCTCTATCTTCGCCTCCGCCGTCTCCTTGCACTCCCTAAGCGACTGCACTTCCGCGTTCAACTTCTTGTTGTCGTTCTCGAGCATCTCCAACCTCCTGGACAAGCAAATCTGAATATCGTCGTTCGCTTCCAACCGCACTTTCTTCGATTCCGACACCTCGACCTCGTCCTTTTCCAAAGGCAGACGGCTCAACAATTCCTGCAGGTTGCTCAAATTCATCTCGGCACCGATATTCTTGAAGTCGTCCGAGTCGGCCAGTCTCCTGATCATGGTCCTGTACTGTTCGAATTCCTCGGTAAGTACGAATTCTCTTCTCCGATACATCTCAACTTCGCGGTCCTTCTCGTCGACCACCTGTCTGGCCAGTCGTAGCTCTTGATCCAGTTTCACGACACAGTCAGCCCGCTCTTTCTCGATCGCTGTTCGAATAGCCGCGGACTTCTCCATTTTCATGTCCTCCTTCACTTGTGCCAGGATCTGGCTGCTCAGTTCCATTACATCCGGTCTCTAAAACGCGGGAATAGATATGTTAATGTGAACTCGAATGAAATGTAAATAAAGTCTACTAATCGACAATTATCCTCACTTCAATTTTCTCAAGGCTGGAGTCGCTAGGACTCCTTTCAATGGTGGACGCAGTCATCGGCTTGAACCGGCTCCTGACAGTCGCCAGCTCGGTCTTGTACTCCATCTGCAACTTCTCGGTCGCCTCCTTCACCATCCTCTGTTGATCGTTCCTAGCCGTGCTTAGACTCTCCTCCAACTCCTGAATTCTTTTTTGCCACTGGCTCACGGAGTTCGTCAAAGAAGCTATCTCCATAAACCTTTCGTCGCTCGTTTTCTTCACAGCCGCCTCCTTCTCGACCCGCGCTTGTTCCAGCTGCTCTTCTAGCTGTTGATGAAGACGAGTCTGCAGATTTCTCATCTCCGTTTGCTCGGACTCCAGTTTCTGTCGCATGGTGGTCGTCAGACGTTCGTGTTCGGTCAGCTCAGCCTCCTTCTCCAGAAGGTTGCGTTTCAGGGTACAGATCTCCTCCTCCCGGCTCTGCATCAGCTTCTTCACGTCCGCCATCTCGAGCTCGTGGTCCACCGTCAGCTCCTGTTCGCGTTCCCGAAGACGACGATCGCACTCGCGCGAGTACAGAGACAGAGCCTCGCGGACACGCTCGGTCATCTCCGACAGGCCGTCCTTGTCCTCGCTGGATCGATCCCTCAGAACGGCGAGTTCCCGACGGACTGAAGTCAACGACTCGCACATCACCGCCTTCATCGTCTTCAGAATGGCGCGTAGCCTCTCCACTTCCTCACGGGTGTTGCCAAGATTCTCCTGAAACGTCGATCGGCAGACATTCTGATTAGCACAGGTGAATGAAACCCTTCTAGGATGTATATCGGGGACGTGAGAACAAGTAAACGGTCGTGTATTGGGATCGGTGAAGATTTAATTGAAAAAAAAAAAAAGGGTTGTTGAAAAATCGAATTTGTTAAAATTTACATTGCGGTGTGAGTGTTATAAAACAGGTAGTGTAGTGAGGTAACCGTAATCCTATTATACAAATCGTTACGTGTTATTGTAGATTTTACATATGTAGTTATTTATGTTCGACGAGGGAGAGAAACTCAGGAGTAGGGAGATAGTTCTGATAGCGAGACAGCCCCCCCCCCCCAAAAAAAGTGGCCGATGCAACGATAAAAGCGTTGCACCGATATGGAATTCTGAAAAAGAAACAAAACTGAATATCTCAGGATAATACACTTCGGGTTCGAGGGGATCGGGATACGAGTGCGACGGCAGCTATCCTGTAAAAAAAATTAAAACACACGCACTCACGTCACGACTTACACGCGAGGGCATATATGCGACTACAAATAAAGGTTCAAGCGACAGTCGAGGGACAGGGACCGGTGAAAAAGTAGCAAACGACGGGTAGACGGCAGGCAATAGATACATACCAACGTCTCTCGGGGGTATACATACTTGCATACAGTCAGCGCTAATAGCTCGGCTAGCGAATGTAAAGACAAATGACAACGAAAGTACCTAGAAACCACAGAAAGGGTTAGGTAAGTGGACAAAAATAGAGGCTGACGATAATCGTCCAACAAGATGGGGATGCAGAAAGAGGGTTGCTATAATACATATGGGTGGTAGGTTGCGGGGGGGGGGGGGGTGGTGGGCAGGTTCCAGGCCGAGAAAGAGTAAGCAAAAACAGTGTGTGTACCATCGGTGAGGGTGTGGGTGGACACATCGACGGTAGTGGAACGTTTACGGCTACGACTACGAGGTCTGTTAGCGAGCTGTAAGTCGTCCAGTACCTGGAGAAGGGAAACGATAGCCTGATGCTGGCCGTCGGCGGGATGCTCGCTGAGACTGCTCGGCAGGGACTCGTCCATGTAAAACTCAGTACCCATGAAGTCGTTAGCCCCCACGCCGACAGAAGGACTGCTACCGCCACTGCCGGACAGCTGGTGGCGTTGTTGATGCTGCTGGCCGTCGCACATCACGGACCGTGTCAGGGAGGAAGGATTCGGGCTCAGGGAGTTCGGCTCCTCGGCCGTCGGCGCGGACGTTTGGTCGCGATATTTGGGAGGAAGACCGTTAGTGGCACGATGAAGCGGACAGCTTGACTCGCCGTTCTCAGCGCACTCGGTTAAGGGACTCAGCTGAGCCGGTCGCTCGCTGACGGACAGACTAGGGAAATGGAAGGATCCGGGCTCGCTCGAGGACGACGACGAACGGTTCGTCAGGTCCACGACTTTCGAATTCAGCGGGGATACGTTAGTCGAGGTGGAGGAAGCAGGGGACACGCTTCGCGAGGCACCAACCTCCAATTGTTTCTGACGCATTTGTTTCGCGCCGTCGAACGACTCGGGTTTCGAGTCCGTTGCGCCCTGCCCGATCTTCTCGAACTCCTCCGTGTCCGTCTCCGATTCGAAGCCACCCCTAGAAATCATACAATTCATATTTAATCGAGAGCAGCACGGGAAACAGAATGTACAGTAAAGCATCTATGAGTGGTCGAAGGCTTCTCGGCACTGAGTGTCAAGCGTCATCCTTAACATTAGGGGGGTACCCCGTCAAGGGCTCAGTCTTCGAACACTTATCGATATAACGGGGGGGGTTGAAAAATGAATTACTACTAATGCAGGCTTATTTAAAATCGATCAAGATCTTAGTAAAAGAGTTCGTGGTGTCTGTACAAGTTAAAACGGTATCAATGTACTAAAAGCCAGTAATCGAAATCATCTTATTGCAAGCAAGACGATGTTCCATAGTTCGTTCAGTCATCAGGTACCTGTCAGATAACATCGGCGCCCTGGTTCGTTCTTGTCCCTTCGCAGCCACGTCGACTCTCATGGAAGTGGTGCTGCTGTCTTTCTCCTTGTTCCCGTCGGTGCTGGCGTCGCTGAGACTCTTCGACAAGAAGAACTGGGTGATGCTGCTCAGATCCGGCGATGATACCGTGAGCGCCAGGTCTGGTAGCTGCGATCTAAGAGACTCCATGTCATCCGCCGTCAACTGCAACAGTGCAACGTTGTAACAATCATTTCTTAGTTGTGAAAAGTACGAAACAATTCCATAATTAAAGACGCTATACTGGGGTCTCGTGGAAAAACCAGTACCAAATAATTCTCTACGAGATCTCCGTGCTACACGCTAGATTACACGTACCTTTGGCAATCCATTATCGAAAACAGAAGGCGCCTGAGTCGCGAAAGGGGGCGGCGTGTCCTCCAGACCGGGGAACAACGTGTTCAAGAAGTGCCCATCGAACTTGCTCTGGAACTCCCTTCGACGCGCCAGCTCCTCGCTATGAACAGTCAACAGCTGACACGCAAGGTTGCTGGCCCACACGAGGAAGGCCTGAGAGAAGGTTCGCCTCCGGACAACTTCAGCCACCGCGTTCATGTACATCTGTGGCGCCAGGTGAATCTGCTGGAGGACCTCCAGGTGTCTCCTTAACCGTTTCAGACTCTCGTTGTACATCACCAGTTTGCCATCCACCTCCATCATCTTGTTCTCCACGTACATGATCCACTTCAGTCGATGGTAGATGTTCACGGACAGCTCCTCCTTCGCTTTTGTGCATCTGCGTCGTATGTCTCTCAGCTGATTGTGATTCAGCAGCATCACTAGTAGCTGGTGTCTGTGCGAGGTGCAGAGATCGGGCAGGACGCTTGCGTCGCCCAGGTTGTTCGCCCGGCTCTGATTCTGATGGAAACCCTGCGCCAGTTCACCCTGTTCCTGGACGAGCTTCTTGGTCTGCGCCATCAATTGTTCCAACGCGAACAATCGTTCCCCGAGGCCCTTGATCTCCTTCATGTCCTGCTTGTTCGCGCTGTCTATCGCTGCGTTCACCTCTGACTTCAACGCCTCCATCACCCTCTCATCGAACTGCTCCAGACCCCGAGAACACTGCTCCGCGACCTGTTCCAGGCTACTTTGATTGTCTTTCGCTGATATCCACCGGAACAAACTCAAAACTTCGTCCCTGCCCTCGGTGTCCTTCTCGGACTGACTCGGCTGATCGTCTGGGCTCAGAAGACCTTCCGCTTGGGCCCGAAGAGCTGGTAGAATTGGAATCTTCGCTAGCATACCCAGGTCAGTGTTGAAGCTACGACACGAAGAGGATTTACAGGACGGTTAGGAATTGTAAGACAGTAAGAACAGGTAATTTAACAATTAGCCAGAACGAATTGTTAGGTTCCCTCCTGTGCTATTAGATAGAATTTATTACATTATTAGCATAATTCGGTCCATTTCCGTGGAAATTGCGTCAGTCATACGCGAGGCCAGATTAAATTGCGCGTTGCTCGGTTGATCCTTTAGAGAGAAACAAAGTGCACACAATGACGATGATTGGGAGATACATACTCGATTGTAGCGATTAGTCGCACCTTTAATTCGATTGGAAAATGGGTATAAATGTAATGGAATTGCATGGAACACCGTAATAATGCAATCATGCAATTAATATCGTCAACCTCGATCAACCGCGTGACGCTAATCGCGATTTAATCAATCATTAATTAAATTCAGTGGCATATTATTTAAACGTCACACATTGCTGGGTAGGTTTCGATGCTTGGTTCCATTCGAACTGAGGTTTATTCATAGACCAGCTACAGAATACAACACGATATACTCTACGAAATTCTGAAGATCGAGGATGTTTCTCTCACACGATGATCTGTAGATTTAACTTTTGGGTCGCTTACTTCTGAAGGAGCTCCATGTGTTGCTGCCTCTCCGATAGATAGACGGTGAAACTCTGCTGAAGGAGATCGGCTCGGGACTGGAACATCTGCGTGATGTCCTCGAGATTCGCCACCACGGCGGCCCAGCCCTGTTGCTGAAGGTGCTGATCGTGCACCAGCCGCTCGCAGATCCTGGTTTGCTCCCGCGCCAATCCGCAGCATTGCTGAGCCAATTGGGCTCGGGCAACAAGGGTCTGATAAGTGGCTGGCATCGCCAGCGAAGCGTCGATTTGACTTTGTAGATCGACATCTGCAAAAAATAATTCATGTTGATCGCACCGAACATTGTTGATCAATTGCTTCCAATCGACACGCTGATTCTTGGTGAACCGAGGACACCGCTGGTACAAATAACGTGTCTACCAATTAAGGTAATACATTTTCGAACGAGTCATATAAATTAATACCAAGAACATTGAACCACACTAGCGTGGATTTTCGTTTCAGCCAGATAGAATGTAGTGGCTGTACTCGGTGGTGGTGAACTGTATGTACCCTGATGAGCAAACTCGGCTTCCATTAAGGGAAAACGTGGTGTAAGAAAAGGGCCTTCTACCACTTAGCAAAATTTATATTAAGTACTGAAATAAATATTAAACTGAATTTGGACTTAGCATAAATTACAGTAATTCCCGATACCAAATGGTAAATGGCCCTTCCCCTACGCCACTTTGTTCCCTAAGACAAGCCGAGTTTGCACGTGAGTGTACCTATATGGCAAAGAATTTTCGTGCAACCATCGAACGTATCCCGACAGGATGATTTATAGTCGGAGATCGTGTGGAGATAATAAAAGGGCGTGGACGAGGGTCGCGACGGATCATTAGGCGTCTTATACACTTTTCAACGAAACCATTCATCAGCCATAATCAACGCTTCATTGTCCGCCTGGTCTTGAATGTTAAAAAGGCCAAGCAATTTCGAATTGTACTTTCCCACCAGAATCTCTCCTGCAGTTTCACGGCTGTAGCCCAGCAGTTAGCCCCGTTTTCTAGGATTAACAATGTCACTCTGTCGACCGAACAAGCGTTGACCTTGTCTAGGTGGATCGAGAATCAGCTTATCAACGGTGTGTTTCGGCTGAGGGTGGCCTGTCGCGTCTGTTGTTTCACGGTGGACGGGATAAAAGCTCGGTTTGGCTTTCGGTCCCCAGGTGACCGTCCGCGAGGCTCGTAAAACCGGACCCCCGCGGATCGATAACGGCGAAACAGAACGCCGGGTGAAGCAGAGCGAGAAAAGGGTGGACGAACGGAGCATAGGATCGAGTGTTCGGTCAGCTCTTGTTTGTCGGTGGCTAAGTGGCAGGTATATATAATTGATCGACGCGAGTGAGCGAGCAACGCATCGCCAACGTAATCTTGGCACGCGATGAAAACTCAAGGTCGCGGGCACGGCTCGCGGTAGCTGTTTCAGTACCCTTACGTCATAGCCTGGATCCGCGGATCGGGTCTACGAAGGTGAATTACGCGTGTCCAGGCTTCCTGGTCGGGCGACAATTGCCTCCGGCGGATGAGACCGAGTACGCTGGTCTCCGCTGGAAGGCGTAACGAGGCGTACGATGCCGCCTTAAGCTGCGTTCCCACGCGGGAAACTCGATCGAGACTTGGAATATATCTCTTTCGTACCTGGTCTCATCGTGTGGAAATATAGCTTCGTGATTTGGATATTTTTTTTGGGAAAGTGTAAGATGTGATTCATGGACTGTCAGTGGACATCAACCAGGAAGTGGAAATATGGCTTTACATTAAGGGTTGGAACCTAATTTTTAAATTCTCGAAAATTGAATCTGAGACTTTGTACGATTTCAGAACTCTTGAAATTTTCGAAATTTGAAGTGGTGATTTCCTTCATTAATCTTCAAAATCAAAAAAAAATCTTGACGATTTTGAGTCAATAATTAATTGTGGGGGCCACGAATTAATTTGTACGCCTAATAGAAAGCGCCTTTTAATTTTATTTAAATTATTGCCATTAACGGGACTCTTTTTATAAAAAAATTTAATATCATCGTATGAAACTATGTATAGTAGTTCTAAGTATACACGGTATTCTCGCAGTACCCGGTAGATGGAAGTTTGGATGTTGTTAATTGATTCCGACAAGAATTCAATTTGGTTACTAAATTTGTTGGCCAGATTGCATATTACTGCATATTCTGGCTATTGTGTCGGACTGATTGTACCTGGATATGTAGGAAGTAGGGTAGAATAGATCGGAATCCCTGGTTGCATGAGAGACAAACTACTAAACTGTTAATAATTTTATATAGAAAACTAATATCAGCAACAGCATGTTTTTAACGGAGTTAATTTTGAATTTGAACATTTTCCTATCGTAGTTCTGAACATTGTATCTTATGTCTGTTTTAAAAGAGAGGAAACGTAAAAATTGATGTTGGATTCTTTCGAGCAAGACGCAATGTTTAACTGTAAATGACAATTATGTTGTTCAATTGATTGTACGATAAATTGCACCGTTTGTGGTTCCCAGGAATGGTAATAACATACTCGAATATGTCGCATCGCGTTGGAGCAAGACTTTAAGTGCAGATCAGAGTATCGGTTTCTGCTGATAACTGCATCATCGCGAGGAACTCTGTTAGTGTCACCTTACCAGAACCCTGCTGACATGCGTCGTTTCAAGCGGCGAAGAAGATTGTTATTGTCTTTAAACTGGCCTGACGCGTGTCATCAGAGTGGCCGTCCGTATAACGATGTGTTTACGAATGCAGAAGCTGCGTGTTCATTGTTACTCCCAACAAGCTACAATCGACCACAAATGTCGTGTTCAAATGACTTACGATATACCAGAGAACCCTGCAAAATTAAAGAACGACCGATCCAATCAACGCGGACCACCGTTGGTTCGATTTCCAAGCTGCAACCGCCAACACGGTTGACCGAAATTCATCCGACAGAACTTCCCCAAGCTCTGCATAATAAAGGAAACAGAGAGGAACAAGAGCCAGCGGGAAGACAACAGAGGGGAACAGTAGGGTGGAAGAGTAAATCGGGGCTGAATTCTATGTGTACGTGTGTTGCACAACTGTTGGACAATGTATCGATTTTATGCGGCGCCCTCGGCCCGAACCAACTTTTCTTTTTTTCCCCCCCGCGCACGGAAGCCGCTGGTTCCGGTATCCTTGCCATCGGGAAAGACCGAAAGCAAAATCCCATTAGTCTATAGAAAGGCTTGACCGTGGAAAAACACAGTCGCGTCGATGACGTCGAAAAAGAAACAAAAATAATAAAGAATCCCCTAGAATCTATCGTTTTGTTTACTTGTACGATTGATTAGCGTTCAGTCGAGTTGCATAGCGCGGTGTCGGAAGGGTCGATCGATTATTAAATCGACCCAGAACCGATCGATTTCCATTCGTTGACAATAGAGCACGGGAGAGACGACGACAACGTGGAGGAATAGAAAGAAACCAACGAAGAAGGAAGTAATCACCTGTCGACGATTTATTCTAACCCCCCCGCCCCCTCCCAACTACCAAAGAACTGCGCTCGATATTATGCAGATTCGACTCGCATTATGCATATTCCGGCAAGGGGGAACAAAACGGTAAATAGACGACATCGTTCGGTCTCGATCTCCTGTTCCACGACCCCGTGACCTCGCCCACCACACACGATTTGCAAATCCGCGGGGCATTCTGTGATGCACCCGCGCTCGGCGACGGAATCGACGCACAATATGTGTGTATGCTATTTAAGGGGAAAACTGCGACGGAATCGTGTGCGTATAATGCAGGCGGTGTGTGATATCATCGCAAAGTTGCGACGTAAAAAACCGTGAACACACCGCCGGAACGATGGTCACTCGTGTGTTCGTTTGCGGACTGTGCGATCGGATATCGTGGATCGCGAATAACTATGCACACGGACGGACATACAAACATTCGATTTCGAGATTGATTGTCGCGTGTTAAATGGCCGTGAGGGCGCTTCCGGTATCGGTGAACACGTTAGGGGAAACTGAGCACCATGGAGATCTTCTCGGGCTTCCTTGGTATTGACCAGGCGAAATTGTATCCATTGGATTTCCGTCGAGATTTTCTTCGGTGTATTTTGTTACCTAGATTTGTTTTCTTTCCTGAAAATTCTTGCTTTCCAACCAATTAAATTGACGATTTTTACGCGAACTTCCTTTACGTATTTTTATAGTCTTGTATCATCCTTTTCTGATAAATTTTGCTCAATATCAGGTAAATAATTTTACGAGAGAAATTTCTGAGTCGCTGTATCCTGGATCAGAACTTAATCGCGTCGAGCATGTTCAAGACGTTTCTAGAATCGCTTACTCAACTTGTTACTCAAACAGAGAACTGTGAGAACAATACCTCTTTATTTATCGCGAACGGCGGTAAATCGTTATTAGGATTTACAAAGACAAATCGCCGTTGCCAGAGGTAAGGTGCACAGGTGGCTCCAATTTATCTACCTATTTATGCTCCCCACGCGACGCAACAATGTACGGCTCCCGTGTGTGCGCGTGTGTGGAGCATCGAAGAAGAGGACGCAAGATCCCACTCGTCGGTAAAGTATATACGTCGCTGCATATAGCCGCACGGTGACCTCTTTTAATCGTGTAATTGCATAAGCTTCCGGCGCAGGGTTGAACCTGGCAAACAGGGGCCAAGAATTTCACGGCACGACACTGAATTCCCAGAATATCTTAACTTGGACTAATGCTCCCCTTTTCTAATTATATATTCTACGCGCCGCGAAAACACACACGCCCGCGCCGTTCAGGGAGTCGCGGTCTGCCTCGACGCGGAGGAACAATATTCGCTTGGTTAAACAAATTTCCAACATGAAAACGATCCTTTGACGATAAAGCTACTCTCCCTCGAGAGACGAGGCGTATCGTTCCGGAATTTTATTAACCGGCGATCAAACCGTGAAATTGTGCGGGATAGAATCGTTTCTCGGTTGAATATCAAACGCAACTTTTATTGCGTAACGAGTCGTACCGAGAGCCTTTTGGAATCATGTACGGTTTAACCGCATACATGCTGAAGAAAATAGTGTATTATCTATTGGTACGCATAGGCTTAACCTTTAAGTACAAACGACTGTTGTTGGGGCTAGTCTGAATTTATCTTTCACTATCACACCCTAGTGCAGAATTTTGTAAGCTCCAGGCGTTTAATTACGCTCAATTGAAGTACTTATCTTCGGTGATATCCTATTACCAACAACGGTAACAAAAGATAATGGTCACTCTGTTATTGAAAGTGTTGCT